ACTATCAAATTATGCTATATGAAAAAAGAAAAAAAGAAAAAAAATATTTTTATTGATCAGAGAATTTTAGTCAGACCCCCTCCCACTTCCATTCCTACCTGACTATCCCCAACTCCAACTTCGTGCTCTCTATTATTATTTGTATTTTTAAAAAAAGGCCTATTGGGTTGAATCTAATCTGTGTTTCTCAAATGCTCTTGGGTGTGGGTCTAACCCTTGAAGTCTGGTCAATCTACCAGGTATCACATCAGGAAGGAAAAGTGACTTTCCCTCTCCCAGCATCTGTCAATTGCCAATCCATCCTCAGCTAGAAATCAAGCTGGTACTGACCTTGAAGCTTCATCTCTGTTGGCTAGCTTTCATAGTATTAGGAAGTGCTATTCATGTTATGGACAGAGAAAGGAAATCATCAGCCTTACCCAGTGGTGAACTCTGTGAGCTACAATAACAACTGGCTTGGCAAAATATGCCCACTGGTACAATAGTGGCATGAATATTATGTGAGTAACCAAGCACATTCTAATTAGACTTAAGGTCCACTGTACAACAAGGAGTCCATACCTGATATTGTTATCAGGCCCATGGACCTACGTTTAGACAGGTAACAGGCTGTAGTATAGAATATACTATCATTCTACTTAATAGATGAAATATTATACTGACTCCTAATGACTTACTGTTTTAAAAAATATTTAGTTATTTTTATTTTATGTATATGAGTGTTTTACCTACATGCATGTAAGTGCATCTATGTCATGCAATGCCCACAAAGGCCAGAAGACAGCATTGCATCCCCGGAATGGGAGCTACAGAAGTTTGTTAGTTGCCATGTAGGTTCTGAGAACTGAAACCCAGGTGTTCTGTAAGAGTAGCCAGTGCTCCTAACTACTGTGCTGTCTCTTCAGCCCCATAATGACTTATTTGTTATACCCATAGATTAGTGTATTTTTCAACTCTGCCAGAGAAGATTATCCGTGCAGCAGATCTTGATTAATAAAAAGATCCACAAATGGTCAATGTACAGATAATAAGGGACTGTGGAGCGCTCAGCCCTAAAAAGCATTTTACATTTACGTTACGCCTTCTCCTCCCATATCTCAGAAGAGGGGCAGAAAGATTGTAAGAGCCAGAGGCAGTAGAAGAATACAAGAAAACTGTTGTCTGGACACCACAGGGCAATTGTACATGTGAACTTATAGCACTTATGACAGCATGCACAAGACATTCCGATTCAAGCCAGACAGGGGCCTGGCATGTATAGAAAATATTTTTTAAATGGCATTTTTTTTTTTTTTACTGAATATGTTGCAGACTTTTGCTTGTTACAACAACTATTTTTGTGTCATTAACAATGTACTAGGTAATCTAATAAGTAATCAAATAAATAATCTAGAGATTACCAGAAGTAATCTGTGTTCTAGAGAAGAACACAAGAGGATGTGTGTAGATTATACACGAATTTTCTATTCTTTTGAATAAGGGTCTTGAACGTTCATACATTTTGAATCTGCAGAAAGTCTTAGAACCAGTTGCTCATGGATACTGACAGGTGATGCTGATTGGTTGTTTATCTTCTATTCTGTGATCCTGACTAATTCATTTAATTATGTTTAGGAACTCTCTCTCTTTCCCTTCCAGCTTCCCTCCCTCCTTCTCCATTTCCTCCCCCTTATCTTTTCCTCTTTTCTTATTTCCCTGAAATTTATTACACAATATATTTATGTAAATAGCAACAATTTTGTTTCTTCCTGTCCCTTCTGTGTAGATTTCATTTCTTTCTCATGCCTTATTTCACTGGCTAGAATTTCCAGTTTTATCTTTAAGAGCACTATTGCTAGGAGTAGTGAGAGCAAGCAAATTTGCTTTGTTTGCATTATTAAGGCCAAAATGTTCAGTAGTTTATATAATGTTAGCAGTAGATTTTATGTAGACTTCTTCATTGAATTTTGGAAATTCTTTAATCATATTTTTGTGAGATTTAAAAAATCACAATAGGTATTTTCAAATGTTTTTTGTAGTACTAATTGCTATGTGTGTTAGCCAATTTTGCTTCAGAACAACCCAATATGTGAGGCAAATCATTTAGGAAGTTTGTTTCCCTTATTGTCTCAGGATCCAAAGCCCAGGATCAAGGGGTCCCACTGTTAGCCTCCTTCGAAGGCCTAACAGGAAACAGTGTCACATCACAGTGGTCGTGCTAGTAGAAGGAAGGACTACATCTCAGCCAAGAAGTAAAGAGCCTGGTGCCTTGTTCCTCCTCTGACAACTATCATGGAGCAGTCTGAAAACAATATGGTAGGACCTTCCCCCATCAGGCCTAATTTTCTCTCTCTCTCTCTCTCTCTCTCTCTCTCTCTCTCTCTCTCTCATCTCCCTGTAGCTCCAGCTGGCCTGGAACTCACTATGTAGACCAGGCTTGCCTTGATCTCCCAGAGGTCCACTGACCTCTGCTTCTTGAATGCTGGGATTAAAGTTGTGTACTACCATGCCTGGCTTAGACCTAATTTCTGGAAATATATACCCCTCCTAGTTCCACCACTCTGGGAACCAAGTGTTTAATTCATGGATCTTTAGGTGAGTCTCAAACTAGATCCAAACTCTAGCACTAAAATATTATTTTTCTTTTCTTAGCCCGTTGATATAGTGAATTGCACTGAATGATGTTCAAATATTAGATCAGCCTTGCATCCTTGAATGTAGACCCCATTTTGCCATGGTATGTAATTCCTTCATATATTGTTGGAGTCTATTGTAAATGCTTTGTTAATGTTTTGTTTTCTGAATCTCTACTCTGAGGGATATTGGTATATGGCTTTCTTTTATTGTGTGTATTATCTCTGTCTAGTTTTGTTTAGGCTGTTATTACCTTCAAGAAATAAATTGAGATATCTTCTATTTTCTGGAAAAGACTGTGTATTAATTCTTTTCAAAGTATATGACAGAATTCTGCAGTGGAATCATGTGATCATGGAGATTTTTTTGGGAAGTTTAATGATTATACATTCAATTATACATTCGATTTCCTTCATAGTTATAGGACTATGCAATTTATTTCATGTTGAGTTAGTTGTCGCTGTGCCTTCTGTAGAGTTGGATCATTTCATCTAGGCTGCCAAATTTATGTGTAAAGTTTATTGTATCATCTTAACTATTCGATGTCTACAAGATCTGTGGTATCTACCTTTTCATTTTTGATAATTTCCTGGAAGTAGAAGGATTTCTGGTTTATTTTCAATATGTGGGCATTTTTAATCACACAAATTATATATTGTCATAAAATTACAGTAATTCAGAACATATAAAGAGTAAAATTCTATTCCATTGTCTTTTCTACATGTTCCTCTTGTCTTACTCCTTGACTCATAATAATGTTTACAGTTTGTATCTTTCTAGGTCTGAGACTCTAACTGTTGGTATACCAATGCCTGGTAGATACTTTCTCCAGATTCTTCAAGGATCATGTGGAAGATTTGATAGAAAAATTGGTGGGAGAGGAAGCCAGAACAAGGCAGGGCAGAAGGGGAAGCCATCCTTTTCTTAAAGGTGGTAGGTCATGTTAGTCTTCAATGCTAATCTTTATCTTTGATAGTATGCTTGTTATTAGAACAAAAATTAGTCCCAAGTAGTAGACATGTCCTGCTTTGAGTCACATTATCATATCCTTTCTCTGTGGTTTTAGTGATCCCTTACACATCTTAGCCTTGTCATCCTTGTCATTAGTAGTTGAGAATCCTTATCATAGGTGTATCAGACCAGTCTCCAAAGCAAGGCAAAGAAGCTCTTTGTGATTTCTTAAAACACACAAACTAGTACACTTTTAAGGATGGGCAGTGATATCAGTAGAGCAGTGGTGCATCTAGGCTCCTGAAATACGCAGTGCTTCCATGTGTCCCAAGGCTGCTACCGAGGAGTAGATTTAGAGTACATTCATTTGGTGGGGTGTCAGATGCAGGAGTCTAGCAGATTTGTTCCCAAGAATGTCTAACCTGTCTGTATGAAATAGTGTATCATCCTTCACCCCCAGTCTAACTCCCTTAAATGTCAATTTAAGGTTTGATTCTGCTCATGCCTTATGCAGATTTCTGCTCATCTCTGTTTGGAAATCATGCAGGATCATGGCTTTAAGGGTGACTATCAGAGTATATGACACCCATCAGTTTGACTGCCATAGCTCATGTGCCTTAAGTAGGACAGGTTGGGAAACCTCTGCTTGTATATATAATGCAGTAGTCTCCTCTTGAATTTGTGCTGTTCTTCTCCCTGGCTATACTTTGGGGCCTCTCTTCTCTATGGGCTGTATATCCCTCTGACCTAATCAGTGTTTTGATACCCCTAATACAATAAGAAAGGAGTGAATGTATAATCTCAAAAATCCTGCTAGTGTTGTAGTTCTGCTATTCATTTTTCTATAAAGTTTGGGGTTTTTTACTGTCATGATGATCAACAATTTCAGTCCTACCATACCTCTGTTCTGAGCAATAAACAGAAATGAAAGGGTGAAATAGAAGAAAAGAAAAAAATTAAATAGAAACATAATAACATCTAAAAATATTCTGCCACATTTGAAAGACGAGAGAGTTGAATTCATTAGAGAGGTTCCATTGGAAAAAGGAATTTTTCATGAAAATGGGGTTTCTGCAGTTGCAGACACTGAGTGGGACTGAGGCCCACAGAATTCTCTGATGTCATCACTGAAGTCAGAGAATCCTCCAGTGGGCCTGGCAACCTTTGACCCTTAACAGCCATGTAAATGTAATGAACACTAGGCACGGCAGCTGGTTAAGTGATCTGAGTTCCTCAGCCAGTTAAGAGACTTGGTCATTTTTTGTGTGTGTGTGTGTTGAATTATCTCAACGGATTTCCTGAAAACCAAGAAGAGCCAGCCAACCTGTAGGGAAGAGACAGACTGGACTCTAAGCATCCTCTAAAGGATTGTTTGGGCTGATACTATGAAACGGCGACAAAAGAGGAAACATCTGGAAATTGAAGAGTCCCAGGAAGCTGATGAGAAGGAAAGAGGTATGTGCTGGGATGCTTGTCTGGGGTGCAAGGATAGTGGCCAGCTTGAGCTTTCTCTAGGAAGGAGTGACTGAGAACACATTCCTATGAGAGAAAGAGAGAGAGAGAGAGAGAGAGAGAGAGAGAGAGAGAGAGAAAGACAGAGAAAGACAGAGAGAGAGAAAGAGAGAGAGAAAGACAGAGAAAGACAGAGAAAGACAGCGAGAGAGAGAGAGAAAGAGAGAGAGAAAGACAGAGAGAGAGAGAGAGATATCACCTATCATCAGCTGATGCTGTCAGATCTATCCTCAGGGTACCAGTGGTGTGAAATAGCATAGAAAATCTGGATGCCCACAGCAAAAAGAAAGTCAGTTCTGTTGCTTTAGGAGCGTCTCTTCTGGACATTAGCACTTGGAGCTGTGGACTCTAAGCCTGCTGAGGGCTTTATGACTCAGAGGTGCAACTTTTCTGAGTACCCTCCAAGTGCTTCTCTTATTCTCTTTGTTTTTCCCTGGGGCTCTTGGTAGGAGCTATGATGTGTTTTACTAGAAGACTACGAGTTACACTGGGCCTTTTAGGAAATAGTAAAGTGTACCTGAAGGGCCTTATTGAGAATATTTTGAGAAATGCAATGCTCTTTAGAAAGGTTAAGAGTTTGTATAAGGTTGATGTTATACTGAAAATATGAAGATTTTATTCTTTCAGTAGGAAGAATTTCCAAGCGGTTCATTAGAATTTGTGAACACATAGGTTTGGGCCTTCCAGAGGAAATGAAAGGGAAGGGAAGGGTCTTATAGGAGATGAAGGTCATAATGGATGTGGTGCAGGACTATGGGGAAAGTAGAGAATACCGAGACCTGTTAATGTGTTTGATATCTGCATATCTTAAACGTAAAGGAGTGGGTTGCCTTGGAAGAGAGTAGTCATGTATAGAAAGTGGGGCAGAATGGAGCCCAACCAGATATCCAACTAGAGGCTTTCACTCAAATTGGAGCCTAGCAGCTTCCATGGGCCCTGGGACCTGGGTTTGTGGGATGAGCCCAGAGAACAGTGGCTTAAAGTGTAGACAAATATAGGAAAGGAAAGGCAATGGATTTTTAATCCTCTGTTTACTCTGGCATTTTAGAACGTTTTGTCTAAGTATCTTTATTAGGAAAAGAAATGGTGGGAATAAGGATAGTAGAGTGGTCACTATTGTGAAGTATGTAAAGTTCTTAGATTCTTGTCTAGACCTGGTTGACACTCACTTCATGTGGTAGTATATACAAAACTCTTCTAAGGGCCTTCCGTAAGATAATTACTCACATCCCCATATATGTCCTAAAACAGAAAAATGTCATGTCTCCTTCATACCTACCTTTCCAGCTGTTTGATTAAACCACAGAAAACACATAGTTATATAAATACATGTACACACAGTTGTGTACTACATGTATACACAGCTCATGGATATGTCAAGTCTTTCTTCCTCCTTCTCTCTCTCTCTCTCTCTCTCTCTCTCTCTCTCTCTCTTCTCTCTTACTTTCTCCTCAACTTTCACACAAACATAGGTTCTTGGAAGTCTTTTTAAATATCCTTAATAAGGACCAGTCAGATGTTATAATATGTCACATCTAAGGCACAAAATATATGTAATATCAGGCCCATGCCCACTTTGTATAAACCACAACAAATATAGATTAATCCAACCCATTTATCAGGGCTGCCAAATAAAATATAGACTTTCCAGGTAAACTTAAATTTCAGATAAATCACAGATGATTTTGTGTATGAATATGTATCAGTTACTGCATAGGATATGCTTACTCTAAAAATATGACTATGATTTATCTGAAATTTTTGTGTGCTAAATCTAGTAATTACTATATACACACTACAATCTGATCTATTACATAGTTACATATTTCTGCTTAGTGCCTGACTTTCTAGACTAAAATGGAAGGTCCAATTTGAAGATGGACACTGGTTCAGGATTCTCAGAGCCTAGAATAGTGCCTCACACATAGTAACTGTTTATTAAATATTACTCCAATGAATGCATGAACACTTATTACAAATACAGGCTACACTATATAAACAGGAAAAGTTACATATTTTTTAAGTGCTGAATTGTGAGCATAAAGTGATTCTCTAGATACATTTCTACCTTATTCATCACACTGACCTCACACTTGTCAAAAGCTGCTTGATGTACATCACTCTAATATTATTAATGAGACATGACTAAAATACCTTTTGGCTATGATTAAATACTGGAGTATCCATCAAGGGCCAGATTCTAAGCCATGCACTCATCATACCTGACATATGTGTCAGACACTCAATAAACATTCGTTGGGTAGGTAAGTGGTGTACAAGTATGGCCAATTACCATATCTTTGTGCGTTTTCTACCTTCCTCAGGAATTTCAAAGTTACAAGAGGATGCCCGTCAGCCTGAATCCACTGAAGTGGCCGAAGCCCAGAGCCTAGGGGTAGGGGAGGTCTCGTCTGCCTCCAAATACTTCTCCTGTGTTTCTTCTCCATACAAGCTCATCCATCATAGTAAGGGTGCGAGACTCCTTGGGTGTGACACACTTTGGGTATGGGGCTTCCAGACTATGAGACTCTTTGGGTGTGGGGTCTCTGGGTATCGTACAGGAGACATAACGATTCAAGCATAAGGCCGAGAGGAAACCCAGGGCATTGGATGTGGTCAGGGCTCTGTAAAGGAGCCTAGATAGAATTCGGAACTCTGAAGGGAACATGAACAGGAGTTTGGTGTGGGAGATCATAAGCCATAGCATACTCATGGTGGGAAGCAAGGAGACAGTGGCTAGAAGGGTCTGGGCTTGGGGCATTAGGCTACGGGACAAGATTAAACATCTTCAGAGGAATTGTGTGGGCTCTGCCTTTGGTTTGGTCTTCAGAGTCAGATACAATTCCTCAGCATAGACAGTAGTACAGTGGGACCACACAGCACAGGCCCATAGACCGCACAGAGCCAAACTCCACACAGATGTGTATATTCTCAGCACACATACCACCCGAAAATGTATGACCCATGATGCTGTAGGTCATGAAATCCCACCCTCACATACACTACCTTCACTCCACACACTATACATTGTGTGCCATCATACCCCACACCCCTATGTATACACATTCTGCTAATATCTCTGTACATACAAGTTACAGCAGATACACCACTCCTTAAAGCGAACAACAGATAGCAAGCTCGGCACTCAACTGCGTCACCTCAGTCTCTTTTCCTGTACCACACGTATTCACACTTCCATTCCCTCAGCTTCCTCTCTGTTTGTCCTTATGTTTCTAATTTCCCTTCCCAGGAACCCGGAAATTACAACGAGACAGTCCCAAGCATAGATCAGCCTTAGCCCAGGTTCAGGAAGGAGAGGAGACTACTCTCCCCTCACAGCATGCCTCCTCATCCTGTCCATCTTATAAGACATGTATGTCCTCTCTGTGTATAAACAAAGAGGAAAGGGGAATGAAAATATACTACATGCATGTGCAAATGAGAAAAGGTGTGGCTATCTCCTGGGAGACAGAGGAAGCCTCAGAGTCCCTAGAAAAGCAGCCAAGGTTGGAAGAAGCCACCCTTCCTGAGGGTGTGTGGGTAGGGACTCCCCCATCTGATGTGTCCACCAGAAACCTCCTGTCGGACAGTGAGCCCAGTGGGGAAGAGAAAGAACATGAGGAAAAGTCAGAGTCAGACAGCCCACCAGGGTCACCCACAGTTGAGGAAAGACCCAGGGCCAAGACACCGGACTGGCTAGTGACCATGGAGAATGGATTCAGGTGCATGGCCTGCTGCAGGGTCTTTGCCACCATGGAGAGCCTCCAGGAGCACGTGAAACATGGGATCAGGGAGGGCTTCAGCTGCCACGTCTTTCATCTAACCATGGCTGAACTGATAGGCAATATGGAATCAGAAAACACCCAGGAGGAGGAAGAGGACAACAACGAGGAAGAAAAGAAACCCAAAGAAAAGAGTGAGGACCAACGGCCGGCAGAGGAAGACTTTGGTGTGAAGAAACTCTGGAGCCACTGTCCAGGCTGTGTGTTTGATTCTCCAAAGGACAGAAGTGAGTAAGGACTGGGTCTGTTGAGGAGTCTGTCCCTGCAGTCCAGGCTTGTGCCACCATGGGGGGAGGGGGTTTGTCAGCTCTGGGAACAATGGAGCGTGTGTGGGGGAATAACTGGACCCTCTGCTTCTTGCTCAGGAATCTTATATGACTGTAAGTTGGGATTTGTCCCGAGCTTTCCAGCTCTTGCAGGAAGTTCAGACAATCTGTAAGGGCTAGCAGAGCGCCTTTCCTCAAGAAGTATCCTTATTTTGGTTTCTACACAGCAACTGAGATTCCTGGGCCAGAAGATCCTGGAAGATGTGGTGGCCTTCTCTTGGGAGAGGTAAAGCCCACAAGAATAGAAACTCCATAGAATAGAAAGCCTATATAATAGAAAGCAAGGCTACACTAGGCTATTTGGTGGCTCTGCATCTGAGTTGACTTACGGAATACTCAATGCTTCTAGGGAAACTGACATCCATTCATTTAGGTGAGAGAGTAGCATTTTGATTTGGAGCTTCTGCATATCCCCTTGATTGTCCTCTACTTTAAGAAGAAATAGTGTACCTCCTCTAAGCAAAGCTCAGCATAACATCAGGGACCGTGAGTGGCCTGGAGAGAGGATTGGGACCCAGAAGGAGCAGAGGTTTGGGTCTGTGAGTCTTCAGTCTGAGCTGGGAGCTTACTGGCCCATGGCCCTGTGGGGAAAAATTGAAACAGAGGGGCAAGAGGGAGCAACATGGAAGCCAGGCCTCAAGAAACCTGGATATGTCCCAAACCTTTCATTTTGCTGCGGTTGACCTGGAAATGAATTCACTGTGGTGTGGGCTTGACTACAATGTTAAGAGAAAAGTAAAAGATAATTGACTAGCAGAGGTCAGGCCACTTCTCATCTCTTCCTGTTCTGCCTCATTTATTTTCTCACAGAGACAAGAAAGGACCATGGAGACAGCAGCGGCAGCAAACAGAATGCCAATAGTGTAAAGGAAGATGACAAGACCAACACTAAGTCTAACACATAAACATCATATGCAATAAAGATTGTTTTCCAAACTTTGCCTGGCTGTGCTACTGGCAAAATAATCTATCTGCCCATCTAGCCATGTCTAGAAATTGGTTAATGAGGCTTTACATTAGTATTAAAGATAATTACTAGCCTTTTCTAGGGGCAGCAATCAATACCCAAGCTCCTGGAATTGATTAGGGACTGTAGGACAATTATTCCAGTTCTGGATACCTCATTTTGTAGATGATGGCAAACTCCACTGAGTTCAGATGAAGTAGTTAGGGAATTGCAGGTAGTCTGAAAACCATGTTCACTGAGTCGTGGTTGAAAGGATAGAGCACAATTTGGTTGGAGAGAGGAAGCTGCAGAGGCCTAGAGGGTAGTATGCATGTCTGACTAGGTCTGGTTCAGAAGAGGGACTATTAGTTCGGGCTTGACAAGGAAGCATCAGGTCATTTCTGTTTTGGAGCTGTCCATGGAGTGGGTTCCTCCCGAGAAGGCAAGTATCTTAAGAAGAGGCCAGCAAGTTGCAATCTGAGCTTGGGGAAGAAATTGCTGTCCTGCGAGTCTGAGACAAGGAGCTCTGATATTTCCAGTTCTGACATAATATCTCAAATTTTAGAGTATACTCTTATACTGGGCTTTCAAAATTTCACCCTAGCACATCTGAGGTTTCTCCTCAGGGCACTGCCAGCTCCCACTGGGACAACAGGGATCTAGGAGGCACTGAAGACCCATTGCGATGCCAGTCATGAGGCTGTCCACAGTTTTTGAAAGGTGAGGGACACTAAAGTATCTTTTCAAACTGAATAGAGGAAAAGATGGGTGCTATAGGACAGATGAAGTTAGAAATAGTTTTAAATTAGAGTTTGTTAGTTTAATGTTTAACTCCAAGGTCCCTAGGGGTGCTTGAGCGCCTGTAAAGGAATCTTCTGCAGGGCTTTACTGAACCAAAAAGGGGTATGTTGGTGCATGCCTTTAATCCCAGTACTTAGGAGGCAGAAGCATGTAGATCTCCATGAGTTTGAGGCCAGCCTGTGTCTACATAGTGAGTTCCAGGCCAGCCAGGGCAACATAATGAGACCCTGTCTCAAAAAAAAAGAAGGGGGGCAGGCAATGGTGCATTATTTCCATTATTTCAAGAATAATGAATCTTCTGCCTAACTGGCTTTATGTTCTTAGCCTTGCCATTTAGGATATTATCTTCATACCTACCTCCTCTGCTTCAGGATCCCTCCTGCATCCTTTAATTCTCATTGTAAAGAACTTTCAGTTTAAAGCTTCCTGTTCACATCAGCCTCTGGAAGGTTCCACTTACATTTTACTAACCACTCTAATTTTTACTTCTTTTTTTCCCTCTTGCTGTTGAGGCTGTCAGGGTTAGACTGACTGTTACATTTCCCTTGTCTTTTCTGGTCTACATTATTTCTTCTTTCTTTGAAATAAAAATTCTTAAAATTTCTTTCTTATATTGCTGCTTAACACATCTAGGGTTTTCTCCATAAAACCTGGTAGCATATTGGTTATAAAAATGATCGCTCTCATTGCTGTTCCTGCCAGGATGAAGGTTTCTGTAAATCATAGAGGTGGGTTGCAGGAGACCTGTAGTGGGAATCAGAGTGCAGCAGGGTGCTGTTCCTGCAGTGCTCGGGGTTCCTCATGAGACTGCATCATCAGGCCTTTGCCTGCTACCATGAGCTCCACACCTGAGAATTGAATGATTTTCCAATGAGGATAAGTACATTTATTAATCACACCAGATCCTCTCTGGTGCCACTGGCAGCAAATTCTGAATAATACTGAATCCCTGCTCAGAGTATGGTAACCTCAGAGCAGTTTGAAGCCATTGAACTCTTCTATCTCTGTCTCTGTCTCTGTCTCTGTGTCTCTCTCTCTCTTTGGTCTTTTTGAGACAGGGTCTCCCTGTAACCCCAGCTGGCCTGGAACTCACTATGTAGACCAGGCTGGCCTTGGACTCACAGAGATCCACCTGCCTCTGCCCCTTGAGTGCTGGGATCAAAGGCTTCAAGCTCATTTCTTTACAGCTATTGATAGGACTGTATTAGAATAAATGTTAAAAGTCCCTCCCTGAAATCCACCTAAGTGATCTCCAATAGCACGTGAAGATAGATGAGTGTCCCACAAAGAGGAAATGGACAAACCTGGGTCACACAGATCACCTGGAGGTGCAACCCAATATGACATTCCTGACATATTTCTGGGATAAGGGTCCTGGTAATGGGTCATCAGTCCAGAGTGATTGCACCGAGTATCCTATGGGTTCTGCTTCAATGACTCCTAAGGTTTCGGTGACTCTGTTGATGCCTCCCCTGGGTCTAGAAACCAGTGTTAACCAATGCCTAGTGTCTACAAGGTTGGCTATTGGCCTGAGATGTTGGTAGGGGCAAGAGCTCATATTCCTAATGTTCCACCTTCTTGTCCCTTAAGTATTCACATATCAAGAATTGCATTTGAGGCTATTCAGATTGTTTAAAATGCCATTTTGGTGGCATTCCCCAAGTGTGATGTATTGTACTTTCATTATCATTTATCTCTAAATAGTTTATAGTTCCTGTAATGATATTCTCTTTCATACACGACTTGTTTACATTGCATTGTAATTTGGTACGTAGTCAATTTTATAAATGTTTACTCTGGGGAGAAAGGAAGAGCAAGATGGTGGCTAAGTAAGATCTGCTAGGGGTTGTTTCCTCTCAGACACGTGAAACTGAACAGCTCTTCACGAACCAGGCTATCTTCAGAGGGCTACGGAAATCATAGGTAAGATAGTAGTGCTTGCTTTTAGCATAATAGAGCAGAAAGACATACTGAAGAAGGAAGGGGCCTGTGTCATTCCTCCCCTGGTTCCAAGCAGGTTACTTTGAGGAGAAGCAATTAAGTGCATGCCTTAGATTTGAAATCTATTATTAGGTTTTATACAATGAGACCCAGTGCTGGGCAAAGATCTACAGACTCTACTGCCTGGCAGATGATCATACACTGAGCTGCTAGATCTGCCTTAGGCCAGTAGACGGCCTCCACCACCCCTCCTCCAGCCTCTGTCAGTAGAGCAGGAAGTAGTTCTTCACTTGCTGGGGAGCAGGGCATGAGAGCAGAGGGCTTTGTCTTGGAGTTTGGGGTAAAACATGCTGTGGTTAAGATCCAGCACCTGGTTAGAAATTGAAGATCTCATCTGTAGGTCACAAGTATCACACTGATACATCGACATCAGACTGGTAAGATACACTGAAGGTTTAGCTTTCGTCAGTTCCAGGCTTGGAGTGGGTCTGGGTCTGCTTGTGTTCCTCAGGGGACTGTAAAAATTCCAGAATAAGAATTGTATAGTACAGAAGGAAGTCAATTGAGACTACTGTATCAAGAAAAACTATCATTTAGAAATGAGGGAGAAATAAGTATATTACAAGACAAAGAAATGTCCAAACTAAAAGAAAGAGACATCAATGAGGCAAAAGAAACTAGGGAAAGCGGTAAAACTCACTGGTAAAAGTGATTAGAAAACAGCTGCAAGATGTTCAAATACTCTATAAACACAGTGAATAAGTCATTCTGATCTCTAATATAAAGACTGAAAAGCCAAACAATTTTGAAACAATAACTGCACCAATGTGTGATGAGATAAGCAATAATATAGAAGGACATGAAGTGGGACATCCACAATTTAAATGTGGGCAGGCAGTGAACGGAGAGGTTTCTTTTAGTATATTTTCTCTTGTTCACTTGTTCTTTTATCTTTATGATCATGTTAAGCTGCTCCCATTTCAAAATAGCTTCACAAGCTGAAGATGTTTTTCTGTAAGCCTAATGGTAATCATAATGCAAAAACCTTGTAACAGATAAACCAAAAATAAGAAGGAAGGACTCAAAACACACTACTACACTCAATTATCTCATCATAAGATTGTAAAAGAAAGAAAAACAACAAAACTGACAAAAATACCCTATTGGCAGGTGTGGCTTTATTTTAAAGCTTGAATGAGGACTTCCTAGTTTTTATTTTTATCTTAATATGTAAAGATCTTGGAAGTCATCACTCTCAAACTTATAAGAAGAATCTGGACAAACTGAAGTAAAACTTTTCTTGGTTTAAGAGAAACTGAATGCACAGGAAAATCCCCACTAAGCAATCTGGAGAGGTAAGTGCATGAGACCCTTTCAAGATCTAGAGGCCTTTAGAAGGAGCCTCTGTAGCATTTAGTGTTCTAAAAACATCTATGGGATAATTTTAATGAATTGCTGGAGACTGAGTATGGACTATCTTCAGAACAAGAAATTCCTGGGAGATACAATCTTAAGGGATTTCTACATTTTTAGGAAGCCTTACTGCTAAAATTGCCAGAAAATTGTAACAGTGAAGATCCTGGAAAGTCTCCACTGGGGCTCCGTTATGGAGAGGAAAAAGAGCCTTTGTAAATATTCTCAAAGTTCATGCCAGAGCCAAGGCCTGCTGTCTGGGTGAAACGTCATCACTATGGTCACATCCCAGCTAGAAAAACATTCTTCCTATTCCAGCTCCTTCTAACCTTTCTTCTTTTTTAGAAGGAGTCAAAATCAACAAGGTTCAGGGCAACAAAGAATATACTAGAAATATTGCTGTCAGAAAAGATAGCAGGGAACAGGAGAAAAGTACACCTTTACCACTAAAGAAACAACTATTTTCACAGCTTCAATGTATAGACCCACAGAAGACTAGAGTTTAATTAAAGTTTATCTAACAATAGTTTTCTCCCACATCTTAATACTTCACAGAGCTCCAGTATGTAAGAGTGGATAACCCCTTAGAGAGATGCAGGGCATGAATTCTCTCTAGAGAGACTACTTAGGGAAGTCCAATCTCAAGAGGGTAGGGACACACACATGCACACATGCACACACATGCACACACACACGTGCACACACACCCACCCACACACCCTATCACTGCCACCTCCAACACTGTCACCACCATCACCATCACCAC